TCATCAGAATGAGAACTAGTATGTTAAATCATCAGAATGAGAACTAGTATGTTAAATCATCAGAATGAGAACTAGTATGTTAAGTCACCAGAATGAGAACTAGTATGTTTAGTCACCAGAATGAGAACTAGTATGTTAAATCATCGGAATGAGAACTAGTATGTTAAGTCATCAGAATGAGAACTAGTATGTTAAATCATCAGAATGAGAACTAGTATGCAGTATATCTGCGGACTTACAACGCTAGAAACCGGGTTTCGATACCCGTGATGGGCAGAGCACAGATATCCCATTGTGTAGCTTTGTGCTTAACCTCAAACAACAGACTTGGAGAAATTATTTAAATATGTAATGTTTTTACAACATTGGAAAAACAATGTTGGTTCAAGAGCTCAATGGTTTGCAAGAAATTGAAGGAGCAACATTTTGCAATTGCACTTTTCAAAGATGCAAACATTTTCAAATCATCTCTCAAGGTTTGTTGAACGACTATATTCTTTGAACATTCACAACAGAGTTAATCAAGTTTATTTCAAAATTGTTATCTTCATTATGGTATCAAAAGTTAGTTACTCTGTTTTCTTTAAGTACGTTTTGTTGAATGTCTCTTTTATTTTTTGTGTATGAATTAAATCAGTTTCATATAATAGGTCTATGGTAAGTACAAATCCTATCTTCCATATGTTATTGACTAGTGACATTTTATTAAGTTAGTAACGTTTTTCTCTCATATCAACTTGTTATTGTACAACATAAAAATAAAATAAATAAAAGAAAGATAAAGAGGTCTTGAAAAATAATTTGGCTTACATTGAATAGTTATCTAATCTCGTGTATTATTTGATCAATCTGCAGGTTGTGTATCATTATTTGGTAAATAGTCTATGACATGATTTTCTACACTTGTTCTTTATATCTAATCATGTGAAATGGTCCCTATTATCAATGGTTGTCTTCACGAGTTGTTATCTGTCTGGACTTCTTCTGAATTGACGTAAAATCGTTCAAGAGACAAATAGTTTATTTTTCCATTTTTAAACATAACTAAACATTTCACATTCCTAACAAAGCCCACAGTAAACCCATACTTTATACGAAAGTATGCAGAAATAAAAATATATATATATTTTAATGAATAAACCTGTTATCTAAAATATTTCCAGTTTCATCTGTGAGTGCTTATTAATAGTTTATTTAAATATGCATTTAAATCGCTTCAAGGATTCTGTGTGTTCTGAAAAGTTAAAAACTTCATAAAATATTCCAGTGGTTAGTTTTGGCATATAATGATGCAAATATTTTAGTTTTTAGTTTCGGTTTAGAGAGCAGTGAGTTAACGTCACATAATTGTATTAGACAAATATAGTGTATGATGGAAAAGTTTTATAATTGGAAACAGCTTACATTCCTAGATTGCGAAACGTTCGAATCTTTTAAAGGATTTTTAAAACATTTTAATAAAATCTAACACATGCATTTTCATTACAGTTGCAAATTAAATAAACCTTTTCATGTTTTAAAGTACTTAGATTCATAAATGGGATAGGAATGTGAGAAAACTGATTAACTTTTTTTATGTTTTAACGCATTTTCGCGCTTACTAGTAATTGCATGTGAAAATTTGTGTTTAACTTTTAGCTTAATAAATGAAGCTCAGTTAATATTTTTGTACAAAAAAAGATAAAAATAATTACTGTAAAACAAGCATACTATACCATACTATAAGGCATTGCAAGAGCTATGAAAAGCTATTAATTAATGTGGACGGCCGTAAGAAAATCAATAAAAATCTGAATAAGGAATAATGTTATTAGCTTGTTAATGATATACTCAGGAATATTTTTTGTTTACATAAGTAGAAAAAAAGGTAAATTAGTTTATATAAAGTTTTTACAATAAGACAATAAATGTATTTTTATGTAATTATAATGAATAAAGTCTAACCAAAATATGAAACTATTATTTTTACAGTACCATGTAGAATAGAGAATTCTATAAGTATTTATTTCAAGTCTTTGATGATGTAATAAATTAGATCCAGGGGATATCTATCTATTGAAATCTGATAGCATGAGCAATTTAGTGAAAACTGTAAAAATCTGGAAATTGAATAAATATTCACTTTGGTAAAACTAAATAAAAAAAATTGTCATATGAACGTTCTTAATGCAGATAAAACTGCCATATGAATCTTCTTAATGCAGATAAAACTGCCATATGAACGTTCTTAATGCAGATAAAACTGCCATATGAACGTTCTTAATGCAGATAAAACTGCCATATGAATGTTCTTAATGCAGATAAAACTGCCATATGAACGTTCTTAATGCAGATAAAACTGCCATATGAAGTTCTTAATGCAGATAAAACTGCCATATGAACGTTCTTAATGCAGATAAAACTGCCATATGAATGTTCTTAATGCAGATAAAACTGCCATATGAACGTTCTTAATGCAGATAAAACTGCCATATGAACGTTCTTAATGCAAACTTCATGAATTGTTCTCTTAATATCAATTGTTTTATTTTACATATCTGTTGAAACGTTTCTTTACAGCACTTCAGTTATTAAAGTAATATGAATATATTTTTCATATCAGGTGAATTAAAACAAATATAAAAACTTAGAAGCAAAGTTAGAATTGATGACAATAACATCTCCCAGTGGCTCAACGATAAGTCTGCAAACGTATAACACTAAAAACCGGATTGCGATGTAACGTGTTGGGTACAGTACATATGGCCCATTGTGCAATTTTGTGCTTAAATAACAACAAACAAAACATTAGCTCTTCACGTTTTGCGACATTTTTTTGTTGTTTAAACTAACAACTAAACGTTATCGGTGACGTGAAACAAAATAATATAATTAGCGGAAATATTTTATCAAAACTATAATGAGTTTTAACATTAGTTTTTTTTATTCAACAAAATAACTAAGAAATTTAGTCTTTGAAAAATCGAATGTTGTTTAACTTTAAAAATTTGTTTTGAAATTACAACGTTTTTTATCCGAATAGTTTTCAACTAAATGTATAGTTCAACAAGAAATAAGACATCTCATAGCTAGGTTGAAAATTATTTTATATTTAAGTATTTCTTGATATGACTCGTTAATTCTATTCTTGGCAAGAAGCTTGACTTGGAAAAGTGAGGCTTATTGCTAATTGACCCCCAATGACACAGCGGTATGTCTGCGAACTTACAACGCTAGAAACCGGGTTTTGATACTCGTGGTGGGCAGACCACAGATAGCCCATGGTGCAGCTTTGTGCTTAACAAACAAATCATTGCCGATTACTAAAAATAGTTCCTAAGTGTCCAACTTTACTACTATATTAAGTTTTCGTAGGGCAAAAGGTCATGTTAGTTTTCTCGTTGTAGTTAGACCAAAAAAAAAGATGTAACGTTTTATTCCATCTTATAAGCTCTAAACTAACTTGTTTTTATAAATACTGGCTCTGTTTTGGCCGAACTAATAACTAGGATAGGTAATACACCAACTCAAAGTGATAATTAGCTTACTATATTACTTCATACTTACCTAAAACAACAGCTGCTTGTACTTTGTTGTCATATGACTCAATATTCAGAAATCCGTGTTTGTTTTAAAATATATCTCCAATAGTAAAACTGAATAACCAACATGTTTTAATGATTCATGTAGGGAATTATTATTATTATTAATTATGTAAAAGGAAAGCTGTTACTGTATGTGCTATCGTTATCTAAGTTCAAATGAATATTAATACTTGTTTCCTTGTTTTAAAGCAAAACCACATTGAACTATTTACTGCATCCACCTCGGAGAATCGAACCCCGGATTTAAACATTGTAAGACCGTAATCTTGCCACTGTCTCAACAGTTGGGGACAAATATTAATACTAGCCCAAATTTCATATTTTAATTACGCTATAATTGAATAAATTATCAAAATTATATACAAATTTGTGAGACAAATCTACTTTTTTATGCCTGATTTTGGTATGATATCGTTAATATTTACAATAAGTGAAACTGACATTAACAAGATATTAGACTGATTCAGGGAATTATAATATTTCAGAAAATACAGCTTTTCTGAGAGACGTATTTATATCGGCGTGATAATGTTTAAGCCAAATTTATAATTAGACTATACTATACCAGCTTCCATCCTGAAGGTGTATGATGGCCTTTCTGAAGGAATCTAACTAACACTGTAGGGTTACTAAATCTTTTAATGCTGTGATATCGTTTGAGGCACATAAATGTTGCTAGAAATTTTTCTATATTGAAGTTAAACACAAAGATACACAATGGGCTATCTGTCCTCTGCCCATCTCGGGTATCGAAACCCGGATTTTGGCGTTGTAAGTCCGCAGTCGTACCGTTGTACCGCTGGGGGGGTCTAAATATAACTGTAATTATTACTAATAACTTTGGAGTTATATCATATACTAAAATTGTTATATCCAGTACCGCCCAATATCAGGGTTCATCAAGCCGGCTGGAATGCGATAGACATAGTAGTGATTGAGACGCTAGCTGTTCGTATCTTCAAACTGCTTGAAAAACCAGTGTCTCACTTTAAACTTGATGCAACAGACATAGTAGTGGTTGAGACGCTAGCTGTTCGTATCTTCAATCTGCCTGAAAAACCAGTGTCACAGTTTAAACTTGATGCAACAGACATAGTAGTGGTTGAGACGCTAGCTGTTCGTATCTTCAAACTGCCTGAAAACCCAGTGTCTCACTTTAAACTTGATGCAATAGACATAGTAGTGGTTGAGACGCTAGCTGTTCGTATCTTCAAACTGCCTGAACAACCAGTCAGTTTGAACTTTATTGGCGTGGTAATCTTTAAGTCACAGGTTTAGTAATGAACTTGCTAGAAAGGTGATTTTACAAACTTTTTTAAATCAAGGATTTATTTGGTAAAGTTCTACGTACCTTTATCTTGATTAACATGGTTTAGAGACAAGTTTGCTGATGCTAGAATTTCCTTACAGAGTTTTTGTATTACTCTTCCAGCAGGGGTCGGAGGCCAACAAAACACAGAGTCCCAGGCTGCACTGCATTGTGCTCCTAAAAAATATAACCACATGTTCGTTTTTTTATGAAATAAGAAAGAAACACTTTGAACTTTGAAGCAACCATTTTGCTTTAAATAAAAGACCAAAGATACTGCTTTTTGAGTGGATTGTTTATTCTTATTTAACTTTTTTACAACAAGCATTTTGCTGTTAACTTTTGCACTCGCAAAGACTTTGCTGTTGGTTGTTTTTTTTTTCACGCTTTTTAAACACTTTAATAAGGATGCAAGAATACTGTTTTTAATTTTACTCGAATGAGAATATTTATTTAGTATTAACTTTCTATAATTTTGTCCTTACAAACGAGAGAAGGCACCTAGCGTAGTGCAGTTCTTCGCACTAGAGACCATTAAAAAACAGGTAAAGCAGAATCCTTTTAAGACAAACGATCTCCATGCCATTTTAAAATCTAGAGCGGTAAATGGTTTTACTGTGATCTTGACATTTAGTTACCTGGCTTTGTGCTTAACTCAAAACAAATAATATAACAGATTTACAGAAACATTACAATAAGAATGATTTCAGTTTTAAACACTTTTAACCTTAACTGGCCTATTACGGGTTTTCAGTTTGAAAACTGTAAAATATCACCTTTTCTTGTATCAAACTGCTGCTAAGTTCAGATGAAACGCTATAACACAACATTCTAAAAATAGCTCGTATAGCACTACTTAAGAATAAAATGTTTGACAAATATTATAACTGTTTTTTTTTTCTTAAGACTTTTTACAATAAATATTTTACTAGTTTTGGTGTGAAACTTTATGCATTTGACATCTTCTCTGTTATTGATATAAATCGCGTTTTAATACATGCATGAATGTTTTAACCAAACTAGCCTCATGAGCTCTATCATTTACTGAAGAATTCTATTGGCAGCAACCTGCGTCAGAGAAAGAGCCGGTAATGTTCCATGTTAAAAGTAAAGCGTTTCACTGTCAGATCTGTTTGTGATTTAAAAATCAAGTGGTTTAGGCCTATGCACCATCCTTGTTTCTGTATGGATAATATAATAAGTTATGTTTTGACAGACTTTCAAAGCTTATTCATATTATTCTTAATTACTATAATAGCCCCCAGTGGCACAGCGGTATTTCTGCGGACTTACAACGCTAGAATCCGGGTTTCGATACCTGTGGTGGGCAGAGCACAGATAGCCCTTGTGTAGCTTTGTGCATAATTAAAAAAACAAAAACAAACAAACAAATTACTATAATAATAGCAACGCCCTCTATGTACTGCTAGCAAAGAAAAAAATGGTGTGCGTTTGCCCTATGATAAAGATCTGGATTTTGGTTCAAAACAGTGCGAAGTGAAATATTCTCTGCCTTCGAGCTGTCGTTGCGTTCTGGAAATAACAGAAAATCTTTTAACGTAGATGGTGAATGGTATTCTGATCAGTAGTTGTAAATTAGGGACAGTGGCAGAAAGCTTTAGTAACTTTGCCTTGAATACAAATACAAAACAAAATGTTTTACAACCAAACTTTGCATAATATTACACCCAAACATTTCGAAAATGCCGATTTATGTCAAAGAAAAACCATTTTTCTGGTCATGAATGTCAAAAACAATGGCTTAATGTTAAATATAACTACTTGCAGACAATCTTGTTACTATTTAAAAACGAAATATAGAGAGAGTAACGTTTATATGTTGATAACCCAGTCATAGCTCAGTTTGATAAAATACTTGCAATTTACTAAACAAAAAGGTGTTATTTCTGTATAGAATGGTCAATCGCTTTAGTTAATATAAAACTGTATACTTATAAGTAAAACATGACTGAAATGTACGTTGTTTTGGTTTTACTAGAGGATTTTCCATAATTTAATATAATATTCATTTTTTTTTCTATAACGTAAGGAATTTTTACAAATCTGGAAGAAGGAAAAAGTCTTATTTAGATCAAATTATTATTTCGTTTACCACAATGAAAATTTTTTTATTATTATGTTTGGGTTCTAGAAACGATCGATAAGACTCTCGCGTCGCGATTGGTCTAGAAACATCTACATACAATGGTTGTCAACATTTTAAGCATAATCAAATGTGACCCGATTTCAATGAAAATGATTCACTTATGTAAAAGTACATATGACGTTTTGTGAAAAATCTGGACGCGATGGAGAAAAGTGGATATCATTTTCGGATACAGCGTACTGGAATTACTGTAGAACATGTAAAAATTTCAAGACAGTAAAACCATCGCAGACCTGTGTTATTTTTTTGCTTCTGTGTGTATATGGATTAAAAATAAATAGCACACAGATATAGTTAAAGTTTAGCAGCACTAAATAGATAGCAGAAGATAAAGAGGATTGTCAATATGTAAACTTGACTTAATTGTTTCATATATCAAGAAACAAAATCATTTAATGAATGACTGTTTCTTGAAAATAAAATGGTTTTTAGGTCTGAGTTTAATTAATCAGATTCAGAACATTTATATGCCAGAACGTTGTAAAGAATAACAGCTTTATAAGCACAAATTAAGTAACGAAAAAAACAAACAAAAATATACAAAAATATGAAGTTGATTACCCGACTAGTTTCGAAGTACCACGTGCGTCATTTTCAAGGGTATACAGTATAAAACTGTTATTCTCTACAACATTTGTAAATTGCATAAAGTACTACTTAACTTGATTATATGCTTGGAGTGTCCATTTATAAAGGTTAAATAACCAATTTCACAAATATGTATTTATAAATTCCACTTAAGGAATATGAGAGTTATAAGTTAGACTTACAGGGGAATAACGGTGTTAATTATGGGTGATTGTTAGTTTGTACAATTTAGTACTGGCCTACCATCATGACCTGCCAAATTCAATCCCCCTAAGCCTAGCTTATATTTCACGAATTAATTAAATAGTGTATGCACATATACATATTAAACACTGGTGAAAACCTCTTTCATATACATTTCAATGAGCCAAATTTAGAGTCCATAAACATACCGCTGACCAACAGGGGGGACTGATTCATGCCCCAAATAAATAATTAAATACTATATTAGTTAGCTACAATTAGTTTACACAATATCCTCTAGGGAAATTATACTTTTGGATAAACAACAAGACTTGAAGTGACTTCGGAAACAGAACTAGTTAAATAGATGTTATAAAATTGCCTTTTAATCACATTTATAAACGATATATAACACAAGCATCCACACGAAAACACCTTCGTAATAATCTCACCCCAATGATATAATAAACGTATAACTCAATTTTAATTAGCTAGGCCTGGTGAATTGGGCATTTCATTCGTAATCTGAAGATCGTGCGCTCGAATCCCGTCACCAAACATTATCTTCCCAGCGTTATAATGTGACGGTCGACCCCGCTATTCTTTGGTAAAGAGTAGCCTAGGGGTTGGGGATGGGTGGTGTTAATTAACTAACTAATTACCTTATCTATTACTTCAAAATTACGAAGGGTTGGCAGGTAGCCGTAGAGTGTAGCTTTGCGTGAAATTCAAAACAAACAAACAATTTAATTAGTTATTTTAATACTAGCTTCTTAGTTTTAAAGTTTCGGTAATGAAATAAGACAATCCTTACACAACTAAAAAAACTTGTTGCATAAGAAGCAGCTGCAAACTCAGACAGCTCAAAAAAAAAGGGCCATTATTCTGCAGTTTCTAGTAATAACACATCCTAGACACTGATCAAACATTGGATCTTTCAGGCTAGCAGCAACACTGGAAGAGTGTGTTTGATGTGAAGTAGAAAATATTAAATCAAGGTATAGATCTCCTGACAGGGTACATAATGAAGTCAATCTCTTATTATTTTTCCCCCATCTGAGAGCATATCAGAGCTCTTGGGTTCCATTAAGCATCATATTATATCTTACACACTCGATAACTGATTTTCAAACCTTTTAGTCGCACCTGTGTGCACACATTCGTTCCGATGAAGATGATTAACACCCACCGAGATCTCTCGAAAGATTTGCTATTTTCATCGCCTTTTTAAATTATTTTATTTTCATTTTTAATATACTTTCACGATTGCATCACTTGTTTCATCTTGGTGTCCAACACATTAACAGGTTTAAAAAATGCTTCAAGTGCTTCATGCCTTTATTTGTGAAATATACTCTTCATGATAAAATCATTATATCGTTGAATATAGAGGTTGAGTACGTTAAAATATAAAGATTTTGGAGCCTCGCCATGTCGTTGCAGTCAATGACGTCACATCCGTTCAAACTCTATCTAATGACCGTGCACCTTCACAATAAACCTACAGCGTAGTTTTAGTTTAAAAGGTACCGTCGTAAGGCTGCCATATCCAAAGCACACAATTTCTGCTTGCATACTTTCAATTAGCCACCTAGTATACGAGGACGATTGTCCGTTTCCCACAGTCCATTTCAACATTCTGTTCGCTCAGAAATCCATAGGCGCTGCTTCCGGCGACTTGACAGATACGACTTCCTGCGTATGGAATATCTTGGATACACCTTTCGTTCTCCAGTTACCTGAGGTATGCGACGGTTAAATGGATATGTCGTGAAAACATCTTGTGTACACATGACTTGAACTTGTGTCGATTTTCCAGACAGAGATTCTTCTTGATCGTGTTACGTACTGTTGCCTGGGGTAAGTAGATGGGTTTCTGCCTCTGACCATTTTTTTTATATCCCCTCTTGTAACAAGACGTCACATTTTGCTGAATAAAGCTGTGACACGACTTTTGCAGATCTTTTTCTGGATGGTCCTTTTACCCCAAGTTGATCCATGTTCCGTTATTTTCCAATGCAATTATTTACGAAGAATGTACCTGTCTTGTAAATTCTAAATCCTTCATCTAAGCACAGTTTTCTGATCTGAATGTATGAATATTTGGTGTCGAAAAAGTCTGTTGCATACCCTTCCCGAAAACTATCAGTTTTCGGTGGCAACATAGTACATCTACCTAATGCCAAACAATGCTAAAACGCCAAAATATGTATTTATAGAGCATAAATCAATAAGTGGA